CATAGACTCGCCATTACACAGACTCACTGATGCACAGACTCACCATTGTCCAGACTCACATTTGCACAGACTCCACGTCACCCAGACTCACCTTTGCACAGACTCACTGTTGCACAGACTCTCTATTGGCACAGACTCACCGTTGCCCAGACCCACCGTTTCCAGACTGACTGTACCCAGACTCACTGTTGCACAGACTACGTATTGGCACAGACTCACTGTTGCACAAACTCACCCTTGCCCCGACTCACTGTTGCACAGACTGTCTATTGGCATAGACTCACCGCCCCCCCCCCCCCCCCCACCCCCCCCCCCCCCAACCCCCCAAAAAAAGTTGCCCAGACCCACCATTGCACAGACTCACTGTAGCCCTGACTCAGTGTTTCACAGGCTCTGTACTGGCACATACTCACCGTTACAGACTTACCGTTGCCCAGACTCACCGTTGCCCAGACCCGCCTTTGCACAGACTCACCGTTGCACGGACTCCCTGTTGCCCAAACTGACTGTTGCAGAGACTCTCTATTGCACGGACTCATTATTGTACAGACACTCCATTGCACAGGCTCTCTGTTGCCCAGGCTCACGGCACAGTCCGTTATCAGCACAGGCCCTGGGATCCGTCTGGGTTTGCGTCCCAGATGCACAAGTCACGAGCCGTTGTAAGCGAGTTCACCGCCCTAACCCTCCGTTTCCCCCGGCGTGAAGTGGACAGCTGAGAAACTGCAAGAGATGCTCCCAGTGCTGGGTTCTGCGCGTAAATGGGCAGCTATTCAAAGAGAGAAGTGCTCCCCTGCAGCTCAGCTCTGCGACAGCTCCCTCCCATCTTCACTCTTCACAGGCAGGGCGGCTCTGCAGGTGTTTCTTTTAACATCTGAGTAGAGCGGCCTCGTTCATTATTTTCTCAGCCTAACTGGAATTTTTTGCTTTGGCTGAAGACATCTCAACCGAGCCTTTGCTCGTAGTTAGGCGGGTTACAGTGCGCGCACGCACACATACACACTCGGCTCCCCTCACGCCGTGCCCCCGCCAAAGCCACGGCCCCGGCCCCGCCCCGGAGACGCCACTGCATCCCTTCCAGGCGTCCGCTAAGAAGATAAAGGGCCTCACTCTCCGCTTACCCTCTGGCTTCTTCCTGAGCGGTGAGTAAGTCTAACCAAGAGGTCTGATGGGCACAGCAAACACTCCCCAAGCTGCCAGGTGCCCCAGGGTCCCTGAACAATTAGCTCTATTTGCTACAACGTCAGATGTGGTTTTCAGCCTCTGAACGTTTACTCTTGTAAGATGTGGCGTGTCTATCGCAGGCGGCCAGCGAGCCGACGCCCCTGCCCCGCGGCCGTGCTTTCAGCTGGTGCGGCGCTGCCCGCGGCTCAGCGTCCGTGCACCCTGCCAACGCTGCCCCAGCTCTCGTGTGCCCATCACCTCCTCAGAGCCACCCAAGCCAAAGACAGGTGGGCTCCCTCACAGCCCTTCCACAAAGTGACTCGCCAAGTCCAAAGGAAAACGGAACGAACAAGCGAAAGGCACGAAAAGGAACTTTGAAGAGTCCTCACGCGACAGCCCGTGGAGCTGGCAGACTTCCTCCGCAGAGCTGGTGCGGGATGTCGACCGACTGGCCGTATTCACAACACCTCTCCGTAAATGGCAAAAAGAAATGACAAGGTCCCGCCTTTGCCAAAGGTACAGTTAACATAGACGATAGAGAGCCCACAAAGGGCTCTGTTTTTTTTAATGTCCTAAACATAGAGAGTAAGATACGAGCCCCAGTGTCCCCGGCCCGGTTAATTATCAGCTTGCCAATTGAAGGACTTGTGAAGGTAGATAAATCTATGTCTTCTATCGTTTCGTAAAGGATGTGTCTCACAAAGTAAATGAAACAGGGGCCTCAGGGTGTCGTGGCAAAGGCGAGGCCGAATCAAGCCTCAGGCAGCAGAGGCGGGTTCCACGTGCCGCCCCGTGAACACTGCAGAGGCCTGTCGCCCCGGCAACCGTCTGGGGCCTCTGGGTGCTGAAGGGGAGGGCAGGGGGGTGGGTTCCCGAGAAATGAGCCTCAAGCAGCCCCAGCGCAGCCAGGGTCTGACACCCACAGGGGACCCCCTCGACGCCACCCCCTGCCGGTCTCCACTTTCCCCGGGGCGGCACCTGGCGCCGACCGCGGGGCGGGGGTGACCCGGTTGACTGGCTGAGCGCCCACCGTGTGCCAGGCAACCTGTCTCATCAGCAGCGCTGCCCTGACTGCAGTTTTCTCATCGCCCGGAAACCAGGCGAGACCTGCCCGGGATCCCCCAAACCAAGCCCTTGCGAGTCAGAACCCTGCTTTCCAGCAGTCTCTGGATAGCCCGCCAGCGAGGCACGGCACCTGGGGCCCAATGCAGCAGGTGCCAGGCAAGCGGCGGCTGTCAAACGGCGAGGCTGGGGCGGGCGGGCGGGCGGTGCAGCCTGGTCCTCACAGCCCTGCCTCCCCACGGACGCGGCACCGCCCGCCGCCCGCCCAGGGCTCCGGGCTCTGTGTAGACCCGGAGCTCCCTCTGGGCGCACCTCCCAGATTCAGCCCCTGGTCCACGCTTCACACGCATCTTACATGGAATGGTTCTGCCAGGTCCTGGAAACCGAACTGGAGAGGTAGGTTTGTCTAGGAGCCAGGCCGTGGGGAACAAAGGCTCAGGCTGCCAGCGCAGACTCAGGGAGCAGAGGGGAGCGGGCAACGGGCATGGAGCTCAGGCTGCCGCCTCTCTCCCGGTACCCCTTCTGCCGCTGGGTCTGTTCTCCTTAGTGGAAGCCCAGCGACGTGACCGTGGCCGTGGCACTGTCCCACAGCTTTTGGGGGGCTGCTCAGCGTGCGTCTGGGCTCCTTTCTCGCTTTCGTTCCTCTCTGCGCTCCAGCGGGGACAGCTCCCATCTTTGAGCCCCCACTTCGCAGCCGAGCCCATCAGGCCCTCGCCTCTCGCCATGGATTTCATTTCCAGCCCTTCCGGGCGGCCCTTGCTCCCAGGCCGCACCTCCGCTGAGAGCCTTCCTGCGGCCGGGCATGTGGCCCCTTTTCGACCGGAGACTAACACGCCTCGATCGCAGCCGGTGACGTTCTCTTTCTGGCAGTTCTGGCATGCGAGTCACACCGGAGCCGGGGCTGTGATGGCTCCATCTCTTGACGGGCGGTCTGTTCCCGGCATTTCCGTGTGTCTCATAGTTTGCAGGACGGCAGCGACTGAGGACAATAGGCTCCTGTCCGAGCAGGTGAACGACCCCTCTTTTCACGGCCCTCCGCTGTAAGGGATGGAGCCGGGGCGGCCAGGCGGCAGCCTGGGCTTGCCGTGGTTCCCCTTGGTGCGCCCTGAATCCCTCTGGCACTGCCTTGCGCTTGCCGCTGGGGTTGGGGCCCCAGAGAGTTCTCCCTGATGCCCCGTCCCTCTTCTGCCCGGGGCTGGGCCGCGAGCAGGAACCTCAAAGCGAGTCTCCCCCCTCGCTCCGCCCACCCTGGCAGCGCACCGTTCTGTGTGCTCCTGGGACCTGCTGTCCCGCGGGCGGGGCTGTGGACTTTGCCATGGTCCTCGTCCAGTCCAGCCCAGCCCAGCGGGCCTCGGTCTTGGGTGCGGGTTGTCCCAGTGATCCTGTCCATCCCGTGTGGCAGGGAGCCTCCTCCTGCCTCCTGCTGCCCCGTAGAAATACAGGGCCGGGCCCCTGCTCCCTCCTCACCCGGCCACAGCGCCTTCCTGCGGGCCGGGGGGCAGGGGTGGGTACTTGCTGCCCCTCCCCCAGCAGCTCCTGCGGAACAGGGGGCAAAGCCCCCCCCCCTCAGAGGCCTGGCCCCTCCTGCAGTACGGCTGCCCTTTGCCCCAGCTTCGGAGGGGGGCTTCCTCACATCGCCCACCTAGCCTGCGCTTCTGGCGGGGGGGGGGGGGCCCAGGGAGAAGCCAGCAGGCCTCTCCTGTGCCTGCGCCCACGCCCGCAGCTCCAGCCCCGCGTTCCCTCCTGAGCCCAGGCTCAGCCCTTCTCGGTCAAATGCACCTGCGAGTGGCTCCCGGGTGGCCAGCACCGCCCTCGCCTGCTTCGCTCGGTCCGCATGGCCGTCGCCCCAGAGGCGCCCGTCTGCCCCTAGATCTCAGCCAACGCGGCTGGCCTGCAGCTTCATCTCTGAGGCGTTCAAGAAAAGCAATGGCTTTATCGATCGCCCATGTTTTTCTTTGCTGCAAATGCAGAATTAACACTCTCTCCAGCCGTGCACACCCTGAGCAGAGAGCAGAAGTCTGCAGCCGGGGCCCCGCCAGGGTCAAGCCCTGCGGGTCAAAGCAGGGGTCGCGAAAGCAACAGCAAGATCGCTTCTGACGTTGACAGATGCGGAGGTGCCTCAAAAAGCTACACGCAAGTCTGCCAAAGACCCCGAGATTCCGCTCCTAGGTGCAGGGCCAGAAAGTGGGGTTTAGACAGGTCCTCCACCTCCATGCACGTTGGGCCTGCTCACAACAGCCAGCAGGAGACCACCCCAGGGTCCCCCAGCCACGGAGGAGCGGTAAACAGGACGTGGTGCGCACCGGCGGTGAGTCATGGGTTAGCCGTCCCGAGGCACGATGTTCTAGTACGTGCCGCATCCGCCCCAACCCTGATGGCAGTTGAGGAAGCGAAATAAGCCAGGCAAAGGGACAAACACTGCGTGATTTCCCTCCTATGGAATGGCCAGAACAGGCAGCTCTACAGCGAAGGAGGCGGGTGGGAGGCGGCTGGGGCCAGAGGAGCAGGGTGGGGGCGGGCGGGGGAGGGGGGAGGGGTCGCTGCTTGGTGAGGCCGAGAGTTGCTGCCTCAGGCGCCGGAGGAGTCCAGAAAGCAGGCAGCCGTGAGGGTTGCACAGCCGTGACTGTGATTAATGTCACTGAATTGTACACTTTAAATGGTTAAAATGGCAAATTTTATGTGACACATATTATAGCACAATCTTTTAAAATTAGTGCTCAAAGTTAGGAATATATCAAAAACCATCCAACTGTACCTTTTCAATGGTGAGCTGAATGGCAGGTAAAGTGCATCTCCCTGGTGCGGTTAGAAAAGAAGAGAACGAGGGGGCGGCCCCCGTGGCCACCGCGCCCACAGCCCAGGGCGGCGGCGACCAGCTTGCGGGCCATGGGCAGCCTGCGGCGGGGGCGGGGGCCCAGAGTGTCCCGGCGGCCTCGTTCCCTGGAGGGGCCGCCGCAGAGAGGCCTCTGGCCCCAGACCACATCTATGAGACCGAAGCACAACCGGAAAGACTTGGTGGGAACCTTGTAAGTGTCTCTTCTTGTGACGAAATTGACCCTAAAGTTCGAAAAGTCAGAGGAGATGCAGCAACGCCTCTTCCGCCCACCGCTCTCCAGGGGGGACCTGCTCCTACACGTCTGCCCCACAGGAGGAGGGGCGCGGCGGCGGGAGAGGCGGGGAGCCCCTGCCAAGTGCCCCTGCCAAGTGCCCCTGCCAAGTGCCCCCGGCCCCTCCCGGCCCCTCCCGGCCCCTCTCACTGCAAACGCGTCATCGCAGAGTAAACTCACCTAAACCTTCCCGCCCGCACCCGGCCCCACAGCGCCAGCTCCCTCAGGCGTTTCGAATACTTCTGTCCCTTAACGCATGTTCGTTATAAAGACGTTCTCGCCTATAATCGTGACCCAGGGATAACACTTGTTGACATTTGGTATTAAAAGGTGTTCTAGTGTGTCACTGTCTGTGGGTTTACACGTGTATTTGTGTGTGTGTGTCACTGGCTTGAACACTGAGAATATCGTGGCACCTGTTCCTTTACGGAGCCGGAGCTGTTGTCTCAGAAAAGTGGAGCCGGAGGCACAGGCTCAGGTGCTACTATTGTAACAAGCTGGTCTCCCCAGAAGCAGGAGAGAAAGGAGGGGGGACAGGGAAAGACCAGTGAGGCTCTGGAGCTGGGAGGGCCCCGGCCAAGGAGCGCAGGCGCCTCTCGAAGCTGGGGGGGGGGGGCGGCGAGGGAGGGGCCCCCGCCCAGCCCCCCCGCCCCCGCCCCCCAGCGAGCACAGCCCTGCTGACACCCACACTTCCGCCCAGTGGGGCCCGCACCAGACCTCCGGACTCCAGGCCGGACAACAGTGAATTCGGCTGGTTTGAAGTCGCCGCGTCTGCGGCAGCGCGTCACAGCAGCGGGGGAAATCGCCTGGCTCTCCATCTGGGGACATGCAGACTGTTTTCAGCTTCTCATTATGAACAATAACGTGAGGGGACTCTCTACAGCTCAGCTCGTATGCATCGCCCCCATTTCTTAAAAATCGTGGACCCGACTTGCCAGGTCAAAGGTCAGGCAAAACCCACGAGCGGTCTGCACGCTTTGCCCCCCGGGGAGCTGGCGTCAGCGCGGATGCCGGCAGCCCGTGCGAGGCCCCAGCGACAGAGGGTGCGCGTTCCGTTCCTCCGCTGTTGGCCGCCCGACAGGCCGCGACAGGGCCCGGTGCGTCCCACGGCTTTCTCGTGGCCGAGAACTTGCGCTGGGTGCGCGCCTAGGAGCCCCCACAGCGAGCGCTCCGAAGAGCGCTCCCCGCCCCCCACCCCAGAACAAGTTCAAAGATGATGCCTCGAAACAGTGTCTGGTATAGACATGAATTCTCAGCTTTTTCACCTACACTCATGTTTGAAAGTGGAAAAGCTGCCCAAAGAAGAGCAACGCCCACCTCGATGTTCTCCACTTATCACAGCCCACGGCTCCGCCCCTGCCCTTCGAGGCGGGGGTGGTCTAACCCAAAGGAAAGGACCTCGCCCAGAAACCAGTGACCGCACGGCGCTCACGTCGTGTTCCAGTAACAGAACACGGGCGCCCCCAGCCGCACGGCGCAGACGCGGGCGCCGGCACCCTCCGCGCTCCTGCGCGGTGAACCGCCGTCGGCGCCCGGCCCCCGACTGCCTTCGCAGTGGCCGCCGGACGCCCTGCGGGCCCGGCCGGGGCTCCTGCGCCTCACGGCCGGCCGCCTCCTCCTCGTCCCTGGAGGTGAGCCGCGTCCGCCCGCGCGTCTCGGTTTCACTGGTGGGCAAGCAGGGTGCTCTATGTTCGTTTAGCATTGGGTAGGAAGGAAAAAGAAATCGCAAGTTAGCGTCCAACAGTTCTCCTTTGTTCTCTTTTTGAACTCTTTTAATTGTTGTTCTAGGAGTTGTCCCAGTTTTTCTCCTTTTGCCCTCCCTCTGCCCTCCTCTGTCCAGCCCCCCCACCCCTGCTCCCTCAGTCCACCCCCGCCCTGGTGTCCATGTCCATGTGTCGCTCATACGTGTTCTTTGTCCCCTTCTTTCCGCCATTGTCCCCCTTCTCCCTCCCCTCTGGTCACTGCCAGTCTGTCCCATGTTTCTGTGCCTGTGGTTCTAGCTTGTTTGTTAGTTTAATTTGTTTATGAGATTCCTCTTATAAGTGAGATCGTATGGTGTTTGTCTTTCGTGCCTGGCTTAGTTCACTCAGCATAATGCTCTCCAGTTCCATCCGTGCTGTCACGAAAGGTAGGAGCTCCTTCTTTCTTTTCGCTGTGTAGTGTTCCATTGTGTAAATGGACCACAGTTTTTGGATCCACGCCTTTGCCAATGGGCACTGAGGCTCTTTCCAGCACTTGGCTATTGTAAATAGTGCTGTTATGAGCATAGGGGTGCACAGGTTCTTTTCAATTGATGTTTGGGATTCTTAGGGCATATTCCCAGCAGGGGAATCGCTGGGTCAAAAGGCAGTTCCATTGTGAGTGTTCTGAGGACATTCCATACTGTTTTCCACAGTGGCTGCGCCAGTCTGCATTCCCACCAACAGTGCACTACGGTTCCCTTTTCTCCACAGCCTCTCCAGCACTTGTTGTTTATTGATTTGTTAACGATGGCCATTCTGACTGTTGTAAGGCAGTATCCCATTGTGGCTTTAATTTGCATCTCTCTGCTGGCTAGTGACGTTGAGCATCTTTTCATACATCTGTGGGCCCTCTGTATGTCCTCCTTGGAGAGGTGCCTATTCGGGTCCTTTGCCCATTTTTCAATTGGATTATTTGTCTTCTCATTATTGAGTCAGATTAGTTCTTTATATATTTTGGAGATAGGAATACATTTAACCAAGGAGGTAGAAGACCTGTACTCAGAAAACTATAGGACACTGAAGAAGAAAATTAAGGAAGATGCAAATAAATGGAAGCACATACAGTGTTGACGGATTAGAAGAATCAGCATCATTAAAATGCCAGTGCCACCCAAAGCTGTCTACAGACTCAACACAGTTCCTATTACAACACTAATGGCATATCTCAAAGATCTAAAACAAATATTCCAAAAACTTAAATGGGACTGAAAAAGACCCGGAACAGCCTCAGCAACCTTGAGAAAGAAGAGCGAAGTAGGAGGGTCACAATACCTGATATCAAACTGTTCTACAAGGCCACTGTAATGAAAACAGCCTGGTCCTGGCATAAGAAGAGACACACAGGTCAGTGGAACAGAACAGAGAGCCCAGAAATAAACCCATGTCTCTACCGTCAATCACTATCTGACAAAGGGAGTATGACAATGGAGTGAAAATAGCCTCTTCAATAAATGGTGTTGGGAGAACGGGACTGGTACATGCCACAAAAAATCAAACTAGACCACCAACTTACACCATACACCAGAAAAAAAAATGGGTAAAAGATTTATATATGTTTAAATTTAAATTTAACACCAAAAAAGTCCTAGAGGAAAACATAGGCAGTAAAATTTCAGATATTCCATATAGCAATATATTTGCTGATCTGTCTCATGGGGCAAGGGAAATAAAGGAAAAAAATAAACAAACAGGACCACGTCAAATGAAGAAAGCTTCTGTGCAGCTAAAGAAAATGTGAGCGAAAAAAGGGAACTGACTGTATGGGAGAACATATTTGCTAATTTCCAATAGTTTTTAATGTCACCTTTTGTCTCTGCTAAAAAAAAAAAAGCATGTTGACTGATTAAGATGAAAATGTACCCTCTGTGTCTACACAAAAAATATGAAGCATTGACTGTATCTGGCAGGTCTCACAAATCCAGGGCAGACCTGTAAGGCAAACCCTGTAAGTGAAAAAACTGACACCCCCATTAAACGGGGGAGGTGTCGATTACCTGTTAACTGGGTCTCCCACTCATGGAAATACAACTGAACAGTCGTCGCTCTCAGATAAATCCTTACGTGTTTGGTTTTAGAACGTATCTGCAAATGTCGCTTTCCCCTGGGGTTCGTGAGAAAGTAATAATATCAGTGTAGGACAATCCAATGCATATATACAGATGCCAACATGTCATAAAACTTACAGTTAAGCACAGCAGCCTTCTAAGTGTTTTTATATACAATGACTCACTTAATCTTCTGAAGTATCAACGTTACCGGCCCATTTTACACAAGAAGAAACTAAGGCACAGGCAAAGTCATCAGCTAGTAAGTCGCAGGGCTAGGATTCGAGCCTGGGGCTTGAATCCCGAACCGCACACCATGCTATCATGCAGCTCCTAGTGTGGCCAGAGCTGGGCTGCTTAAAGTGAGGTCACAAGCCTCTCAAGGCCAGGGACAGGCATCCAGGCGTCCGTGACCCTCCCAAACTATATGCAAGTATTTACGTGCATGTGCGGGTCTATATTCAAGAAACCAATATTTCAAAAATTACATAGGTAAAGAGACACTGCTTGAGGAAAACAGTGATTCACAATGGAAAGAGTGAGGTTCTTAGGTGACGTGGAGCTGGGTGAGCACGCTGCTGTGTTCGCTCTTTGCTGCCCCGTCAAAACTCCACGTTCCGGCCTGTGCGCGGGAATCAGAACCCCCACCCTGCCGCCTGCCCGCACGGTAGTAGGCGTCAGAGCCAGGGCCTGGGACAAGCCAGTGGCTGGGGAATCCTAGGTGCTTTCAGGATTACCATTCCTGTCGTTGTTTTCTTTGATTTTAATAAACCTTACTGAACTATCATGTCAAGTCATCATCACACCATGGAATATGGTGAGGTTTTCAAGGCCAGTAGCGCGGGGTCCAGCCCGAGACAGAGGCAACCCAGCCCGCCGCAGGGCACGAACGGACTGGAAACTGGGTCAGGGTACTGGAATTCCTCCCACTCCGCCTCCGCTGGGTGACGCTGGGGAAGTCACCAACCCTTCATGGCAGTTGTGAGCATTTAGAAAAGGGATTCTGTTGTCTGATGCCTCCTACTCCCTGAGGCTGGAAAGAGATAAATACTATGTTACAAGTGCTATGAACTCATGGGGCAGAGAAGTAAGTGTTGCTTAAATCCCTGACTGCTGTCCCCCAGAGAATCTGCAATTTTACCATGGAAAATTAGAGAAGCTAGAAAAACACTTAACCTTGAACAATCAAAAGAATAACAGCAAGTCAAGTTGGGGCCTTTTAAAACATCACTTCGCTGACGGTTCTCTTTTTAAGGACTGGCTCCAAAGTGTCAAGTCTGGACCCCCAAGGCACTTACACGTGATGCGCCGTGAGGTTCATTGTAACACTTCTCTCTGGGCCCTGGCATGGTCCCCAGCCCTGCTGCCTGACCGCGAAACCTCCCGCAGCCCCGCCTAGGGAAGCGCAGAGCTTTCCGTCTCCTTCGGAAAGAAACAGAACGCCCGCCCCGAGAACAGGCCCCGCCACCCCGCACAGGGCACGCTCTTGGGCCCCTGAGTCCCTTCAGCGCCTCAGCTCGCCCCCTCGCGGCGCTCAGCTCTGCACAGTTACTTCCCAGGGAGAAGAGGGAATGAACACGTGCGCTGTCCAGGCCCTGCCATGATGTCGGCCTGGACTTCGAGGCACACGCCCAGGTCCACTTCATGAACTTGCTATTTGTCTTTCCCTACTGGGGAGGTTACTCGACATTGATTGTTTAGCCACAACATATACTTTCACGCCCCAACCCTTTTACTGAGCTCGTCGGCCTTGCCTCCCTGCTGCATGAATAACACCAAATCAGAGGAGAAGCGGCGGGCTTCGTGCCTCGGCAGAGCGCGCCGGCCCTCGTGGGGGAAGTCCCCAGCTCTCCAGCCCCACCGAGACCCCCCACGCCCAGGAGCCACCTCGCACACACACTTGATGGGTCAGGGCACCGAGGGGAACAGGCAGGACGGCGTGGCGACCACACCTCATGCAGCAGGACCCTGGAAACTACTGCAAACATCTCGGCAGCAGGGAGAAGGGACTGGGTCTCCCACGAGCCGCAGGGCCCAGTCAGAGCCCCGGATGTGCCCTACTGCCCGCCCCCAGGGCGCTTTCCAAATGTTGAGACCAAAGGTGCTTTACATCCACAGGTACATGTTTCACTAACGAGGGACTTCCCATCCTGGACAGTCCAGGCGAGCTCTCAGCACCCCGGCCTCTGAGTCCAAGGCTGGAAGAGAGTCCCCGTGCAACCAAGGAGCAGGCAGGTTCAGTCTGGGGACCGCAGCCTAGCCTGGAGGTCCTGCCAGGATGCTGCAAGCCGAGCCCAGCCCCCCACTCCAGCCACGTCGCTTGGATTCCACTACCCTGGCTTTGCCTCTGCACAAAGGACCAGGTCCACGCTGCCCCTGCTGGTAGTGCCGCACAGCGGGCGCAGTGCCACTGCGTCTGGGAGCCACGCCACAGCCGGGCTGCCGTGGGGGCGGGTGCGCTGCGGCCACCCGGGGTCTCGTCTACAGGCAGGTTCCCGAGCAGGTCCCTGGGGCGGGCCCGGGGACACTGCCCTTTAAGTAAGGACTCTGAGTGACTATTATGACACCAAAGTTAGAGAGCCCGCTCGCAAAGAAGCATGTCTACGTAGTTATCAGTTCTGCCCTAACAATTTCAGAAGAAGAAAGAGAAATCAATTTAGACATTAAAAAAATAACATAAATGCCTAATGGGAGAGGAATACTTGCGTGTAACAAAGCTTCCCCCCACCCCGGGACTGAGTCCGGAGCTCACCACGGGAGAGCGGCCACTGCCGCGGCCGCGTGCGGTGCGGGGTGGGTTAAGGGCGAGTGGCTGCCTGCCGTGGGGCCGAGGGGCCGAGGCCG